GAATAAAAAAAAGGTAGACTAAGAAAATTTGTTCATAGCGGTCGACCGTGGCGGTCGACCGCAAACAGATACAGTCTAAAACCTGTATTTGGGCCGAATTTGAAAATACTTTAAAAATAGCAAATCAATTCTAAAAATAATAAAACTTTGGGAAAAGTTTCTAAATGATAAAATGAACATGTTAGAAAAGGAATTTTTGGAAAAGTAATTTTCGTTTGCAAAAACACACTGTTTTTGAAAAGTGTTTGTAAAACCTGTATTTTACGAATATGAAAATTTTGATATGACTTATAAACTTGTATATATATATATATCATGCATATATTATATGTATATAATAAAGTATGAATGAGCTGTAAACATAAAATAAAATATGTATATAATAAAGTATGAATGAGCTGTAAACATAAAATAAAAGATATTGTAACAACGTTTGATGAAAAATCATATATATGATAGAAAACATCAAAAATCGTGTTAAGTGTACATATATTGAGCTTAAATATAAACATACAATATATGTAAATAAACTACTCTTATACGTAGGTAACTCCACACATATGAACTTGAATCTTTAACGCTTGATTGTCGTGTGTTAAAATACCTGTAAAGAGAAACATAAAAACAAAACTAGAGAATATATTAGCGATAAATTGTTTGACAAATCATCATCAAAACTATAGGGTCTACAATCTCCCCCTTTTTGATGATGACAAACAATTTATTTATTGATATGAAATATATACTGATAAACCACATACAATATGAATTAAACATATAGACCATATATATCATGAATCAAACATATAAACCACATTAGTTTTTCTCCCCCTTTGACAACATCAAAAAGGAAAAAAAATAAATATATATATGAATAGGAGCAATGCTCCCCCTGCATACAAGCACAGATAATAAACAAATATACAGCTAAAGCACCCACTGTCAATTTGCATAGATTATATATAAAAATCATATACATACATAGGAGCTAAGCAACCACATCCATCCATATAAAACCATAAGCATTTGAAATATATAGACCAAATAAATCACAAATCATCACTTAAAAACCAAAATACTACATAGTTTTCCACAATCATTACTTGTTCCACAATACTACAAACCATACACAATTTTTTCCACAATAACACATAGAGTCATTTAAAACATAAAATAAAAGCATAAGTATCAAGTATTACACCAAGACATAACCATGAGCATGAAAGCGAACAATAAAAGTCAATAACCACCATCATCATCAAATCCGAAAGCAGATCCCGACCAGAGCCTGACGCAGATCCATCAGCAGAGCCTTCCTCAGAATCAGAACTGGAAGATGGATCCAGAATCCCAAGAGACTGACGCTGATAAGATAGAAGAGTCCTAACATCCCTCTGAATAGTTAAGACCTGAGTCTCGAGACGATCCAAACGGGCACATATATCAGAAGTGGAGGAGGTGGAAGCTCTAGACCGAGAAGATGATGGCTTAGCAGGATAAGATAAGGAGTCAGAAAGTTGCATACGGGAGAGAGAAACTCTATCAAAGTATTTCTTACCCGGATCAACTTTGGGTTCATTTGTGAGAGCAACACCGAAGTGTTGAAGAATGAGGGTGATGAAACCGCCAAAAGGAAGAAATTTGTGATGCTTGCATGCCATGTTCTTAAGAAAAACATTTGCCCAATTCACTTTTATTTTGGCAAAAATGGCATACACAA